AATGTAAAGTAAATATTTACAGTACCTCATCTCAGAAATATAGACCGATCCTGAAGAATGCCGGATAGCACTGCGGTCGAAATGTCGTGTATATTGCAACTAAATTAAGGCCAACAGTTCGAACAATGTAAAGTAAATATTTACAGTACCTCATCTCAGAAATATAGACCGATCCTGAAGAATGCCGGATAGCACTGCGGTCGAAAATGTCGTGTATATTGCAACCAAATTAAGGCCAACAGTTCGAACAATGTAAAGTAAATATTTACAGTACCTCATCTCAGAAATATAGACCGATCCTGAAGAATGCCGGATAGCACTGCGGTCGAAACGTCGTGTATATTGCAACTAAATTAAGGCCAACAGTTCGAACAATGTAAAGTAAATATTTACAGTACCTCATCTCAGAAATATAGACCGATCCTGAAGAATGCCGGATAGCATCATAGTCGAAATGTCGTATATTGCCCAAATCCAAGGCCAACAGTTCGAACAATGTAAAGTAAATATTTACAGGACCTCATCTCAGAAATATAGACCGATCCTGAAGAATGCCGGATAGCACTGCGGTCGAAACGTCGTGTATATTGCAACTAAATTAAGGCTTACAGTTCGAACAATGTAAAAGTAAATATTTACAGTACCTCATCTCAGAAATATAGACCGATCCTGAAGAATGCCGGATAGCACTGCGGTCGAAACGTCGTGTATATTGCAACTAAATTAAGGCCACAGTTCGAACAATGTAAAGTAAATATTTACAGTACCTCATCTCAGAAATATAGACCGATCCTGAAGAATGCCGGATAGCACTGCGGTCGAAACGTCGTGTATATTGCAACTAAATTAAGGCCAACAGTTCGAACAATGTAAAGTAAATATTTACAGTACCTCATCTCAGAAATATAGACCGATCCTGAAGAATGCCGGATAGCACTGCGGTCGAAACGTCGTGTATATTGCAACTAAATTAAGGCCTACAGTTCGAACAATGTAAAGTAAATATTTACAGTACCTCATCTCAGAAATATAGACCGATCCTGAAGAATGCCGGATAGCACTGCGGTCGAAAATGTCGTGTATATTGCAACTAAATTAAGGCCTACAGTTCGAACAATGTAAAGTAAATATTTACAGTACCTCATCTCAGAAATATAGACCGATCCTGAAGAATGCCGGATAGCACTGCGGTCGAAACGTCGTGTATATTGCAACTAAATTAAAGGCCAACAGTTCGAACAATGTAAAGTAAATATTTACAGTACCTCATCTCAGAAATATAGACCGATCCTGAAGAATGCCGGATAGCACTGCGGTCGAAACGTCGTGTATATTGCAAACTAAATTAAGGCCTACAGTTCGAACAATGTAAAGTAAATATTTACAGTACCTCATCTCAGAAATATAGACCGATCCTGAAGAATGCCGGATAGCACTGCGGTCGAAACGTCGTGTATATTGCAACTAAATTAAGGGCTACAGTTCGAACAATGTAAAGTAAATATTTACAGTACCTCATCTCAGAAATATAGACCGATCCTGAAGAATGCCGGATAGCACTGCGGTCGAAACGTCGTGTAT